CCACTCTTGTCCTGCAGAAAAACCACGTTTACAAGAAGACCCTGCAAGCCTTAATCTACCCCATCTCCTGCACCACGCCGCACAACTTCGAGGTGTGGACAGCTACCACGCCCACCTACTGCTACGAATGCGAGGGGCTGCTGTGGGGCATCGCGCGGCAGGGCATGCGCTGCACCGAGTGTGGCGTCAAGTGCCACGAGAAGTGCCAGGACTTGCTCAATGCAGACTGCCTGCAGCGTGAGTGCGGGGCGGGGCGCGGGCCAGGGAGGGGCGCCATTGGCTGAGCGGGCTGAGGGGCGGGGCCGACAAGGCGCGGAGTTGGTAAGGAACGCTATTGGGCTGGGAGGCCGAGGGGCGGGTCGTGGGCGGGGCCTAGCTAGAGGCAGACTAGTTGAGGAACTTCGGGCTGGGCCCACTGAGGAGTGGTGCACACTGGGGGCAGGGCTCTGGGACAGCAAGAGGGGCACCTGGGTTGGGCTGACCGAAGGGGCGGGGAGATGGGCGGGGCTCTCCGGTCGGAGGAGGTCCCCGTAGGAGAGGGGTAGGGCTGCTGGCGCAGGGTAGAGCGGAAGAGGAAACGGAGAGGAGAGGGTCACGGAAGGTGCCCAGCATCTTCCCCAGGAAAAAGAGCGAGAGTGGACTCCAGCGTTGGCGTTCAGAAGAGGGGCTCCGAGTGGGCAGGGCCTGAAGGAGAGGGCCTCGGGCGTGTGGCTCAGAGAGGAGGGCAGGGCTGGGTGGGCATGGCCTGGAGACAGGACCTTAGGGGCGGAGCTCTGGGGCGGGCTCTATGGCCAGGGGACTGCGGTGGGCGTGGCCTGGGTGGGGCTTCGGGGCGCGGCTTGAGGTGGAGCTCCAGAGCTGCCCTGGGGACCAGGACAGCCGGGCTGCAGCTGACAGGCGAGTCCCACAGGGGCTGCGGAGAAGAGCTCCAAGCATGGCGCCGAGGACCGCACGCAGAACATCATCATGGTGCTCAAGGACCGCATGAAGATCCGGGAGCGCAACAAGCCCGAGATCTTCGAGCTCATCCAGGAGATCTTCGCCGTGACCAAGGCGGCGCACACGCAGCAGATGAAGGCCGTGAAGCAGAGTGTGCTGGACGGCACGTCCAAGTGGTCGGCGAAGATCAGCATCACTGGTGAGGTGGCGGGGCGCGGCAGGGCCGGGGTGCAGCGGGGCCGGACCCGACGCTCCCACCGTGCTGTCTTCCAGTGGTCTGCGCCCAGGGCCTGCAGGCGAAGGACAAGACGGGCTCCAGCGACCCGTACGTCACCGTGCAGGTCGGCAAGACCAAGAAACGGACGAAGACCATCTACGGAAACCTCAACCCTGTGTGGGAGGAGAACTTCCACTTGTGAGTGCCTGGCTGGGTCCGGGTGGTGCCTCTTGGCCCGCACCGGCTGCCTGACACCTGCCCTCGCCAACTCCTCCTCACGCAGTGAATGCCACAACTCCTCGGACCGCATCAAGGTACGCGTGTGGGACGAGGACGATGACATCAAGTCCCGCGTGAAGCAGAGGTTCAAGAGAGAGTCGGACGACTTCCTGGGGCAGACGATCATCGAGGTGCGGACACTTAGCGGCGAGATGGACGTGTGGTACAATCTGGGTGAGCAGGGGCAAGGGGGAACTCACGCCTCCCTACAAAAGCGACCATGGGGTGCAGCCCTGAGCTGCGGGTGGGAGGACCACAGCCCCAGTTTAGTCTGAGCGGGGAGCCATGTCTAGGGCCTCTCGGACAGGAGAGATGGCCGGGAAATCGACCCTAACGGAGGAGAAAGTCTTTTCCTTCCTTTCTTTTTTTGGGGGGTACATGTTTGCATTCTACGCATTTTACAGTCATCTTGGGGAGTTGGTACATGTATGTAACACAGCTCGTTTCCTTTTTATTAAGTTTATTGGTGCATTTTAGGGACATATACTGATCTCATTCATCCTAGGGAATTTGTATCTTAAACTTTTATTTCCCACTCCCACACCCTCCGTTCAGCCCCTCTTCCTCTCCTCACCTAGAAGAGCTTCATTTCCATGTTTCCTTTTTTCTTTTCCCTCCCTTCCCCGCCCCCTAGTTTCCCTTCCCATTTCAATATTATCTTATTATTTCACAGTATCTATTATATATTGTGGTCCTTATTTATACTTTCACTTTCTCACACCAGAAAAACAATGCAATATTTACACATGTTTGATTAATTTCACTGAAGAGAATAGTCTCAAAAAAAAAAAAAAGACCTAAAAAGTCTTAAGGTTATCTCTCTTTACAGCTGAGTAGTACTCAATTTAATATTTAAAAAACACATTAAAAATCTTCTTTATTCATTGGTCGATGGACATTTGAGCTGTTTCCAAGTTTTGGCTATTATATACTGTGCTGCTATAAGCATGGGTGTGCATATATTACTGTGGTGTGATGCTTTTAATTATTTCGGGAAGATATAAGAATGGAAATTGCCAGGTCTCCTGGAACCCTTAGTTTAGTTTTTTTGAGGCATCTCCACACACCAGTCTGCACTCCCAGCAGCAGTGGAGCAGGGTTCCTCTGTCTCCACAGCCCCGCCAGCATTTGTTATTGGTTGATTTCTTGATAGCAGACATTCTTTGTGGGGTGAGGTGCAACCTCGGTGTTGTTTTCATCTGCATCTCTCAAATGACTAGTGATGTTGAACATTTTTTTCACTGGAAGAAAGCCTCTTTAATAAATGACGCTGGAAAAACTGGCTTTCCACATGCCAAAGACTAAAATTAGACCCATGTCTTTCATCATGCACTAAACTAAAATTAAAAGGGGGCCAGGGATTTAGCTCAGTTGCACCATGCCTACCTTGCAAGCACAAGGTTCTGAGTTCGATCCCCAGTACTGAAAAAAAATGGATCAAAGATCTAAATTTAAAAAAAAAAAAAAAAACCACTAAATCTGCTGATAGAATAGGTGGAACTTTTTAAGAGTTAGGTGGAGGCAAAGACTTTATGAACAAAACCTTGGTCACATGGGAAATATCACAAAGAATCAACAACTCAGATCTCATCTTATTAAAATGCTTTTGCCCAGTGAAAAAAAAAATCTCTGCCCACAGACAAGAGGACCGATAAGTCAGCAGTGTCGGGCGCCATCCGGCTGCACATCAGTGTGGAGATCAAGGGCGAGGAGAAGGTGGCCCCCTACCACGTCCAGTACACATGCCTGCACGAGGTGAGGTTCCTCAGCTCCAGGCTGCCTCAGTCCCCTCCGTCCCCGAAGCCACGCCAGCTCGCCAGTTCCCCATGCCACGCCTTCAACCCAGAAAACTCCTCTCCATCCACTGAGGCCCAGCTCCAGGGCCCTTCCTTGGGGAAGCCCCAAATACCCAGGCCGATGCACCCATTGGCTCGACGCCCTTCCTTCTGGCCCAGGAACGAGTTCATTGGGTGACTGGATGGCTGAGTGACAACAGATGAGAAACATAGCTGGGGGGCCAGGGGTTTAGCTCAGTGGTTCCACCGCCTGCCTCGCAAGTGCAAGGACCCGAGTTCAATCCCCGGTACCAAAAAAGGAGAAAGAAGGGTGGGGAGACAGCGGGTGGATGGACATGCGGTTGAATAATTATTGGAAATGTCAGAGCGATCGGGTCATAGGCAGAGGTGTTGGGTGGGTAGAGATGGGGTGGAGGAGAGGCAGGACGAGACG